ATCAGATGCTGGACATTTGATATCGTATTGGTCGATTCCACTCACTGTGATGTATCCACCCAATCTGTATATTCCTCATTGAATACAAATAAAGCTTTGAGTTATATTGTAATGCTATCTTTGTTTATATTTTCCTCCAGTACAATCAGATTCAAGACTAGAAAGTAAGAAAGGAAACTATCTGATAACACTGTCCTGCATACTATAATCACACTGGAATCATTGCCCACAAAGGTCAGGAGCATCGAAGAGATGCAAGTACTCTTATAAACACGTTGAAGCAAGCAAGTAGACTATTTCTGTCCCAAAATGTAGAAAGTCCCAGTCAGACTATCATAATTGATTCAAAAGGTCCAAATAGTTTACATTTACAGCCATGTGCATCTCCCGATACAACAAATTACATGTGTCTCCCTATTTGAATGGAGTTTTGATTCAGTAACTTATGTTTCTTTGTAACCTTTGACAGCTTATTTTGATGTTAATATTTCCTCCAACTTCTCATTATTTGAGACCCAGATGGAAACCGAAGGGTTCTTTACACAGATACACACAGACACATACTGACTGACTGACTGAGTTTAGTTTTCGCCGCTTTTAGCAATATTCCAGCAATATCACGGCGGGGGACACCAGAAATGGGCTTAACACATTGTGCCCATGTGGGGAATCGAACCCGGGTCTTCAGCGTGACGAACCAACGTTTTAACCACTAGGCTACCCCACCGCCCCACAGACACATACAAGCACATAGAACCCGACATAAAACATGTAACTGATTTTGAAAAATACACTGGTCTGAGTACTGGGCTATGTGTATCGTCTGTCTCTTTACTCACGTGTAAGTTTTATTTGTCGATCTCATCTGCAGTCAGAAGGTAAATATTGTTAAAATATTTTGTTTTAAGCTGATTGTGTGCCTGTGCAAGTTAAACAAAATTAATTGAGACTGTGGAGTAGTTGTGCTCATCAAGGCAAAGGCCGTGATTCAATTTCGACGTGGGTCCGATGCCGAGTTTTTGTGAATCCCGACCGTGATATTGAAAGCAAATTGCCAAAAGCGACGCAAATTCGTACTTATTAAATTAATAGAATTATTACGACGAATGTTCCGTCCATGGCTTGACGCACTTGCGACGGCACTATGAATACATCGTGGATATACTTGCCATTCCCTTTACGTTTTTATCGGTAATGTGACCTATTTTTTTCACATAACAACAATGCAATTACGATGGCTGCATGATATTCATTAGGTCTTCAGACGAAAGTCTGGAAGACCTACTGTGTTTACCCGAATTAGTATTCTTCTTCTTATTATTATTATTTGTACGTTTTTTGTGACAGCTCTCCTGACCTAACCGCTGGGTCGATTTTCATGAAACTTTCAGGGATGATAGCCTGTGTGTCGAAATCTTTACACCTGAATAACTCAAAAACTATAAGAGATAAATGTACCAACTTTTCCCTCAATGTAGACAACACCATTCCCCGTCGATTCAGCACATACCGAAAGTTGGCCGGCAGGTCAAATTTTCCGCAATTTTGAACAAATCTGAATTTTTTGCCGATTTTCACGATTTGACGGTGCCTGTGTTTGAAAATCTTCTTCTCCAGAACGGCATATAGTACAATCGTGTTCGATACGCCGTTGGAAAGCCGATACTCTGGACTACTTAGTTTGCTCAAGGTATGTCGATATCTTGAATGGTTTTGGAGCTATCGCCCTTGGAAGTCGGTGAATTTTCTAAGACGCATTTTCATAGGGTTAAAGAAAAGGTCACAACTCTGCGAAAAATCAATGGATTCCATTTTCCTAAATACCAACCTGTAGATAATTGAATGGGAAACAGTTTTGCTTCATATCATGGTTATGTAAAAATCAATAATTACGTCACCATTACCACACAAAGACAAGCTTCCCGATTTTGCACATTTCCGCACCTTTTGACGGTGCCTGTGTTTAACAATCTTCTGCTCCTGAACGGCAAATAGTACAATAGTGTTCTATATATCGTTTTAAAGCCCACACTCCGGACTACTTAGTTCGCTCAAGGCATGTCGATATCTTGAATAGTGTCGGAGTTATTGCCCTTGGAACGCATTTTTATAGGGTTCACAGCTCTGCGAAAACACAATGGATTTCATTTTTGAAGGTACCAAACTGTAGATAATGAAATGGGGTACACTTTTGCTTCACATTATTATTATTATGTAAAAGTCAACAGTTACCCCACAATTACGCCACAAACAGGGAGGGACATGAGGATTTTCGCATTTTGTCAGTTGTGAGATAACTAACTGACGGAAGCGACAGTGAAATCTAGCAACAATCGCCGCTTCCTGGTATTCCAGTGCCCAAAGAGCAATGCGCTTTAAGTAACAACTGGGACTCCAGCAGTTTGTTTATCAGCCTGACTGTGCCAGGATCGCGCAAACCCTTTCTGCTACCACTGCAAAGCGTGGTCCACGTGCAGATACGGGAGACGATGTGTATTTCAACAACAGATGTAATTGACAATGACAAGGAGCTGTCAAATCTGAAATGGAAAGTCATCCAATGCCCAAAGAAATAGTTGCCCTTGAATTGGCCTTTACGTTACATCGGCATTATTCCAGCCATATAGTGACGAGAACAAGTTTGCATTAATAAACATTGTACGTGCAGTCAGATATGAGTTTTACTTCAAATTTTTGAATGGGTGTTTAACAAATGCACTATATACACACATAAATCTATGGTTGTTTCCCAAATACAGTATATGCACATACGTGTATGCGTCAGATAACTAGGATCGTCGCGATTCCAGAACACTAATCGTTTGGACCGTAGACCAAAGGACAGCGGATCTACGGGCTGTTAAAGAGAGAACTATATCTTCTGTGGGAACTACTTAAAAGCTACATGACCCCCGCGACACCGGCTGCATTTCACCGGTCCGCTCTCGTGTCAAAAACGTGTTCTGCCTGCGTTTTGGACGCTTTCTAGCCCTTCAATACACTTCAAACACCCGTAACTCCGAGAGTTAAAATGGACGCTCCAGCTGACGTCCAAAGAAACGGTACAAGTAAAGGTAGCCACGGGGGGTGTATGGGGAAGTCTGAAGACCGCCAGTATTGCCCAGGAGGCAATCCTAGTTATTATTATTATTGGATATTTAATATCTGTATAATTTTGCATTTGGTGTATGTAAATGAGTGGCAAATAAATAAATATATAATATTTATTTGTTTTTTGTTGGGCAAATCCATTAAGCAGACGCAGGTGACAGCGTGTAGTTTATCCGTGCACTGGACCATAACATGTGTTGTCTTAAGCTGTAGTTCTTTTCGGATGTAGTTCTTATGTGAGGACACCAATCTGTCAAGACCTGTTGATGACGGATGTCTATAAATAATCGATTCTAGACCAGACAATCCAGTGATCAACCGGAGGAGCACCGATCTAAAGCTACGTAATTGGGATACGAAAACATGTGTCAACCAAGTCAGCGAATCTGACCACCCGATCCCGTTAGTCGCCTCTAACGACCTGCATGGGATGCTGAAGACCAATTCTAGCCCGGATCTTCCAAGGTATCTACTTCATAAAGGGAAACAAATTAAAACTGAAATATCGAGCTCTGCATAAAATCAACAGATACCTCGAATTCCTTTAAACTCTTTCCTTGCAATGTCAAAATAACAGATTTATTCTTGCAAAACAAACCTCTCTATCATGGACCTGTTCGTTGACTTAGAGTATAATCTATGGGCACTTTCAGGGTTTATAGTAGTCAGTCTCACAGTCCCTGAACCACATTAATTTCCCTACTCCCAAGCCCTCCTGCAGTGCTAAAGCCCTAAATAAAGCAAGTCTAGATTTCCTCTCTGGTCTCCCTAGGGCTCCTTTCAATATAAATTGGCTTGTTTGTTACTATCAAAATTATATATATTCAGAGACTAAGCCTTAGTCTAGGTTTATAGTACCAGCAGTGGTTAGAGCGTCCGCCCTGAGAGCGGAAGGCCTCGGGTACGATCCCCGCCGCGTCATACCAAAAGGCGTTAAAATATGGTACTTGTTGGTGCCTGTCTGGCACTCGGCATTAATGGGTACAACAAGGACTGGTCGGCTCGGAGTCAGTATACTGTGTCTGAGTGGGCTATTCATGCTTCACTGCGGCATGGAATTTCAGTGAGCTTGCACTATAAAACCAGCTTCAGTCTGGGCTAGTACAAGCAGCCGCACATACACATACACACGCATGCACGTCGTCATATGAGCGAAATATTCTCAAGCACGACGTTAAAACCAAGTTCACCTCACCTCACCTCATCAGGTGACAGGATGGAATTTTATGTCTCCATATTTTGTTGGTTTGTTGTTAAACGCCGGTCTCAGCAATATCCCAGCTATCTGAACCAGACAATCAAGTGATCAACAGCATGAGCATCGATCTGTGTAAATGGGATAAAATGACATGCGTCAACCAAGTCAGCGAGCCTGACCACCTGATCCCGTTAGTCTCCTCTTACGATAAACATCGGTTGCTGAAGACAGTGAATATTCCTGATTACCGAAAATAACCGTAAACAATGAAACAAACGAAAATCAAACTAACAAACTACCGGTCTAACATTTAAGTCCGCATGTCGTCCAAAACCCGAGTCTGCCGATGGGAAGCGACGATCAATATCCGACAATACCATATGCCTCGCACCGAGGATATCTCTTCTATTTATAAGGGAGACCATCACGTGTTGCCACCATACTTTGTAGGAAGGTTGCGCCTCTCTCTCGCACATATTAACCGTAAGTATCCAGAGTTTGTCCGTTCCCAGTGTATGCCAGCTTCATTTAGAATCTACGTGGTTCGTAGAGACACCCAGTTACTCCTGTAAAATACTGTTATGTGTTTTTATGCCCACACGTATTGTTATGTATCATCATTGAATTAATATGAAAGGGTCAGTTAAACGTCTTCCAGTAAAATCCGGACAGTATAAGCATTAAAGGAGGATATGAAAACATATTTTAATATCGCTGAAAAAATGTTCACAATGCATGTTGGAATAACAAATGAACATGTTGAGCTTTCTTTTCCTGCACTGTTATGTTGGGCCTGCACTGTTATGTTGGGTTGAAACGTTGTGCGGACCACCGGTAACTGTCATTACACAACCAAGCAACTGTGTTACGAGGTCAACATTCGTCTATAAATAGCACACTACGGGACGTGGCACGTGACACTCCTTGGCTCGGGAAGCAGGCTGTCCGGAATGAATTTTACATCAACCTAAACATACAGTCATTGGACATAAGTATTCGTCACTGTGCATAATTTCCATAGACTTACATGTTAATTTGGTGCAGCTAAAAAAATTGTATTGAATTTATTTTTCGTTTGATATTGTTCATATTTTGCTCATGTCTCATGAATCATCTCAGCAGCAAAGACATAATTTCCGTTTTATTTTCCATTCAGTATTTCAATAATGACCACACTTTGATTGATGCGTGTCATGGTTATGGCATTTGTTAACATGGCGGTCTATGGGGAAAGAATACACAATGCTGTATATATGTTGCTCATGTAACTACAATGCGGAAAATACTTGAAGGAACATTACATGGAAATTATGTATCTGTGACCAGAATGCTTTTCTAACAACCTAACACCAAATAACGAAAACTGAATTGAAGAAAATTATTACAGCTACACTAAAATAACATGCAAGTCTATGAGAATTTTGCCGACTGACGATTACTTATGTCCCATGATTGTAATTACCTAAAGGAGAATACGAACAAAAACAAAACTTTTGATATACATGTATTGTAAAGGATATTCTAAAAGTCACATTCCGTGATTAAAATTGACGAAAAAGTTTGTAAAATAGCAATAAAAACACAAAAACGTACTCGTATTTCCGCCTATCACGTGACATGACGTCATAAGTGCCTGTTGTTGATGGCTTTCTTTTTGATTTTACCTCAACTTAACAGTGTCCGTGGATTCTGAAGCAGTAAATGCTGTTCCTGGTGTCATTTCTGAAATGGATGTTAGACTGTATCAATACGATCCGATTTACATCTTGCAAAACAATCTGAAGATGATGAAGAAGAATCAAGCGAAACGGAGGCAACGCTTGAGGTCAAAATAAATATAAAAATAGACCATATCATTTAACAAGATTACTATTTGTCAGCAAAATGTCATACAGTTCCAGCAAGCAAACTCACCCCTATAAATATATGACCAGTCACTAAGAATTATTTTTAAAAAAATGTGATTACAGTTCATTTTGTGTCAAATGGGTGACTGTAGGGTGTCTGGGATTTAGAAACAAAATAATTATGCTTCAGACGAGGGAAAATAAAAATTATCTGCTTCAAAAATTACACTGGAATTATTTTGTTGAAACAAATTAGGATCCTAGTTCTCATTAATAACGTATCAAGTCTCGATACAAGATCCCAGCCTGGTCGAGCAGAGATACTATTTGCGACGCAGATAAGTTATTACCCGAAAACTGGTGAATTATAAAATACTAGTCAGGACAACGTATGTTTTCCCATTGTTTGGTAATGGAAATAGTTATGGTACTCGGTCATAGCCTTAGAATGACATCTTGTCAGCCAATGAGAATACAGGACAACTTTCACGGCACACACTACTGACAAAAAGCGAGTCTGATGCCGACGTGCGTAATTGGACAAAATGGAAAAATATGAGAGCAACAAGTACTTCATGATTTGCCGTTGTATTCGGCAATGTTTCGAGTTGACTGCATCATTTAGGGCTTCAAATCGAAAAGAACGTTATAGCGAAACATTTTCAAGCTCATTTTAAATCACTTACTGATTTTGATAATATATATCTCATGTGTACCAGTCGAAGTGCCCCAGGTACAAAATGCCCCAGCAAATTTGGTCATTCATTCTAATTTGTTTAAAATTTATTTATAATGATTGAATATATGCCGTAAATGCATAGTTTTTGTCAACTTATTATGATATTATGTTCTTCATATAAAAGTTATTAGGAAGTAATATTTCTGATAAATGTTTCATTAGTAAACTCATAACTATGTATATCCTTTTATATGAAGAACATAATATCAAAGGTGACAAAACTATGCATTTATGGCCTATATTTTTCATTTTAAATAAATTGGGGCATTTTGACTCACTACCCACTGAGGGCAATTTGACCAAATTTGCTGGTGCATTTTGTAGCGGGGCAATTCGACTGGCAATCGGACTTGATTTAATTTATGTTAAAAATACCACTGACAGTAAGTTGTTACAGGGAATGATGGAGTATAAATGAATCTCGTGGGTACTTTATCCTTCTTCAGCCTAGCTCGGGGATTTCCATACTCCATGCGTGCATGTCTCTTTCATATGCGTCCGACTCGGAATGATCGGCGCATTTCTCCTGCCGAAATCTGTCATTTCACTTGGAAAACGGAAGAAATGGTGGTTCTTTCCCATGTTCGATGATGCCGTGCATCCCCAGGCAACGCAATACACCATCGTACAATTTAAAAGAACGACAGAAACAACACGATTTGGACTACTGTAGCGCTTGGTCTTTGGCAATATGGCGGACTCCAGGCCCATTTGACGTCACGAGCGGAAAGGTAGATTTACAGAAACTGTTTTCGCGATTAAAACATAATTATACATAATTTTTAATTGAAAATTTGGGAATATGTTTCTTATGACTTTATCTTTCACCAAGCGAATTATTGCAATTCACTCGTATTCTCCTTTAAGCTGCGTAGAGGCATTTTGTGATGCCCCAGATGCCACACACACTTGTTTCTGAAATTTACATTGAACAATAACTCCGGTTAAATTGAAAAGGAGCCCCAGGTGGGAGATTCCGAATCTGGGGAGAATCTAGACTTGCTTACTTTGGCACGCACATCGAAATGGTGCACAACAGCACGACACGATTCTCCGACACGAAGGCGCATCGAAATTACACAAACAGCATGACTTGATACTCCAAAACGACGGTATGTGCATCGAAACCAAACGAATCAGTAGGACACGATATGCGGACTCGCGATCGATGGCACATGGCACGTAACACTATGGCACATCGAAATTGCATGTGACAGTCCGACACGATACACTGTTACGCGTTACGGAGTGACATCATCCTTCGACACGACGGCGTATGGAAACGGTACTTAGCAGCATGATCGATACTTCGACACGATGGCACATCAAAATTGCAGGTAACAGTTCGCCCCATACATGGAAATAATACGTAAAAGCGCGACACGTAACACTACCACACGATGTCGCATCGAAATGACACGTAACACTACCAGACACGATGTCGCATCGAAATGACACGTAACACTACGACACATGATGTCGCATCGAAATGACACGTATCACTACAAGATGTCTCATCATGACACGTAACACTACCACACGATGCGCCGAAATGACACGTAACACTACCACACGATGTGGCATCGAAATGACACGTAACACTACCACACGATGCGCCGAAATGACACGTAACACTACCACACGATGTCGCATCGAAATGACACGTAACACTACGACACGATGTCGCATCGAAATGACACGTAACACTACGACACGCGATGTCGCATCGAAAGAACACGTAACACTAACGCGATGTCGCATCGAAATGACACGTAACACTACGACACACGATGTCGCATCGAAATGACACGTAACACTACCACACACGATGTCGCATCGAAATGACACGTAACACTACGACACATGATGTCGCATCGAAATGACACGTAACATTACGACACACGATGTCGCATCGAAATGACACGTAACACTACGACACGATGTCGCATCGAAATGTCGTAGTCGCATCGAAAGAACACGTAACACTGGAAGACGTCGCATCGAAATGACACGTAACACTACGACACGATGTCGCATCGAAATGTCGTAGTCGCATCGAAAGAACACGTAACACTGCAAGATGTCGCATCGAAATGAAACGTAACACTACGACACACGATGTCGCATCGAAATGACACGTAACACTACCACACACGATGTCGCATCGAAATGACACGTAACACTACGACACATGATGTCGCATCGAAATGACACGTATCATTACGACACACGATGTCGCATCGAAATGACACGTAACACTACTACCACACACGATGTCGCATCGAAATGACACGTAACACTACGACACATGATGTCGCATCGAAATGACACGTAACACTACGACACACGATGTCGCATCGAAATGACACGTAACACTACCACACACGATGTCGCATCGAAATGACACGTAACACTACGACACGATGTCGCATCGAAATGTCGTAGTCGCATCGAAAGAACACGTAACACTGCAAGATGTCGCATCGAAATGACACGTAACACTACGACACGATGTCGCATCGAAATGTCGTAGTCGCATCGAAAGAACACGTAACACTGCAAGATGTCGCATCGAAATGACACGTAACACAACGACACGATGTCGCATCGAAATGACACGTAACACTACGACACGCAATGTCGCATCGAAATGACACGTAACACTACGACACGATGTCGCATCGAAATGTCGTAGTCGCATCGAAAGAACACGTAACACTACCACACGATGTCGCATCGAAATAACACGTAACACAACGACACGATCATGACGATGGTAACCGAAACTGCTTGTAATAGTCCGACACGATTCTCTGACACGACGGCACATCGACATGGCCAGTAACAGCACGACCCGATACTACACGACAACGACGACAACGATAAGTTTAGCTGGCTGACAACAGCAGCACGTTTCAACAATACATCACATTGTATCCTCCGCCACTGTCGTAGCGTGAAAATGTAACAATGTAACAGCTTTCAACATATATTTCCGCATTAAAATGTTGTCTTTTTATTGGAATAAATGAATAATTACTGGAAAATTAATTTCACGCTAATACTATAAATTTCACGATGGCATGTCATGCTTATAGTCTTGTTACACGCTATGCTTTCTTTTAAAAGGGATTCCAACAATTAACTAACAAATTTCTGGGCTGAGTAAAGTTGGTTGGAAAACGGGTCATGTGAACGCATTACTTGTGCATTCCTTGCACGCATTTACATGACGTGCACCATTGCTTTTGGAATAAATATACATGGACTTGTGAAGAGATCCGAGCTAGAATTAGTGTTGAGTAACCTATACTGGTTGTAAGAGGCGAGTGACGGGATTTGATGGTCAGGCTCGCTGACTTGGTTGACACATGTCATCGCATTCCAACTGCCTAGATCGATGCTCATGTTGTTGATCACTGGATTGTCTGGCTTGATTATTTAGAGACCGCCGCCATATAGCTGGAATATTGTTGATACGGCGTAAAACTAAACTCACTCACTCACTCACAGGAGTCGCGGTAAGGGCAAGAAAGGAATGTAATGATTTTGTTTATCGTCAGGTTTATTATTAGGGTTCCATTAAATACAAGGCTCGCTAAATACGATGTTTATTCCTAATGCGGGATATCAACCATCCCAAAACACACGAGTGTTGATAACCTGTATTTACATGGCTCTGACAGAACAGAGTTTAGATTGTGAATTGGACGTTATTGTTTCTTCCATCCCCCTGCCCCTTTGATCCGTTTTGGAAGACCGCAAAACTACCGCTATATGTGATAAATCTTTAGCAATATTAATATCCGTCAAAAGATACGCCTTTAGTGAGTAGTCCGTAGCTGACGATGCCACAAGCTCACAGACTCTAAAGAAACCAAAAATGCAAGCACATATGCACTTTGAAGAGCGATGCTTCATACGTTGAGCAGTTGCAGGTGATCTCAAGCCCGTTTTCATATTGCATTGTCTGTACTATTTGTCTAATTTTAAAAGTTACTTGCCACTTTTAATTCTCAAACTGTGATAATCTATTTATTTTACTTTCCTTTGTAGTCAGTTTTTAAAAAATAATTTAACTGTGTTTATTGTTAATTCATAATATTTTAAGTCACAATATGGCTGAAATATTGCCGAT